TAACTTAAAAAAAGGGGAAAAGCTGAATCCCAAATCCAAGGAGGATAGCGCATTCTTGGATGGACAGATATTGTCAAGTACCGTGATCCTTGGGCTGCCCCCATTAATTCCACATCCACCAGCTGTAGGCTCACTCCCATGAGTTTCACACTCAACTTCTATGCGTGTTCCGCAACTCCGCTGTTCAACCGCTAGTCCGTTGATCTTCCCCTGCAGTCTTACTTTAGTCTTTGGACGAACGTAATCACAGAAGTCTCTTGACTTACCCTTTTTTCTCCTCCAAAGTAGGCTCGGCAGCAATCTTTCACAACACGTTTCTTTGAAAGCCACTTCATCAACAAAGAATACACGTGATACTTCTTGCTTCTTATAACCATGCACAGAATTTGAAATTCGATCGCATGCAGTCGATGGCATTCTTTTGGCCTGCCACATGACTCGCACAGGTTCCTCTGGCTTATGAAGTCTGGAACTGTTCTGTTTTGATGCTAGAGAACCTGAATGGCCTGTCTAGCAAGTACGATTTTTTCCAATGGACAGGACTTCCACGACGAGTCGACTATCATCAGCTGTCACTTCTTGAATTAGTGTCCAAGTGAAACTTCTCAAGAATCTCGGCACATTTCTCTCCAGTTGTGAGTTTTACTTCCCAAACTGTGCATAGTGAGCTTTTAACACTACTTTATTCGGCTTACGTTTCGACGATTTCGCCTCCTTCGAAGCCATGAAAGACAGAAGTCATTTGAGAAACTATACGATGAAGCACTATTTCAGTTCACAGGGAGCGTTCTAAGGGCGTGGGCTATAAAGTCAGAAGTTAATAAATAACCTTTGAGATAGCCGACCTATGCGGTACACCGGACACCCAAGGCGGAAGGACTGCGGTTTGAATGGGGCGAGCCCTGAGTCAACTTGCTTCAGGGCCTAATTTATGAGCCCCCTAGCTGTATTACGCCGAGAGGGCCTTCTAGGGGATGGATAGCTTTGGTAAAAAAAACGGTATAGCGCTGCAAAGAGAACTAGCTCTGTGGTGAAGGCCAAATACACTTCCTTTTGCGCCTTTTAAACGCTTTGCGGCGCAGTGAACTTTGGAGGACCATAGCGAACCATAGGTCACTTGGTTTGCACAGCCGAAGAAGTAAAACTCACATCTGGAAAGAAACATGCCGAGATTCATAGACAGTCGCACTTGGACATTGTCCATTCTTCTTTGGGAATAGTTAGTGTTATCATTGCTTCCACAAGTATAAATGATTGGCATTCATTACTCTTCCAGTTCTTCAGTTATGGCAGTTGCTTATAAAAAAACCGACATCTCTGTCCATTTTGTAACTTTCTAATACCTCTATACCAAATCCAAAGTACAATGCAGCGTTACTCAACTATCCATGAGTCTCATCCAAGTTATAATCGTGTGTATCTCGATGAGTAATCTCTCTATATTAAGCGCTAACTTTGTGTGCCTGTCCGTATGTCATTTTGTGTGTCAGCCCGCAAAAAGTCGCGTAGGCGCGATGACGATATGAAGCGGTCAGGAAGTTGATATGAAATAGAAGTTCTGCTGTTATTGTATTCTGTGATCGTCTGACTTGCTACCTCATTAATCGGGAATCATGATTTTTCTCCTTTTTGGGGAGTGGACCTAATTCGATTCTTTTCGAGAACACTGCGATCAAAGCTTCAGAAAGAGAGGAGGTAGGATGGAAAAACTTCTGAATTGGCATCAGTTGACATAAGGCATCATGGAACGCTCCGCTCACTTATCTGATGTTTTGCCAACTGCTGTTATTTCGATTCGGTAAGCGTTTCGAAAGTCTCACAAGGTTGGCGATTTGTGGACAAAACGTCAGTCTTGGACGGGACTCCAACCCGCTCCTGTGCTTTCCGGGCATGGTGCTCTTATCCCTTTCACTACCAAGACCGGCCTTTTTGATGGCTTATACGCCATAGCTTATCAGCACTCACACATACAACGTGTTGAGTCTGTCAGCCAATAAACAATTTACATAATGTAAGATTACAGCTTAACGGTTTGATGTTGGCGGACCGACTCAACACGTTTACGTGTGACTGCTGATGAGCTATCCGAAAGGCTAGGGGTATTGGTAGTGTAGGGGATAAGATCACGGTGCCCGGAAAGCACAGGCGTGGGTTTTAGTCCGGTTCGAGTCTGAAGTTATGTCCACAAATCGCCAACCTTGTGAGACTCTGCTTACTGTTTTTCATTGAACCTCTTTTGCACCATTCACTATGATTGAACTCAAGAGGATTTTTCAACGTAATTTCATGATGGTTACGTATTCAAAAGAATCCCTTGTATTAAGTATTCAGTCTTCATGCGTGATTATTTAAAGATGAAACCTGAAGTATTTTGTGTGAAGCAGTGACATGTGTTCGGGGCATAAAAAACGTTCCTGCACTCTTCTTGGCTAAAATCGTAAAAAAGCGGCTGTGGACATGCCATGAACGTGTTAGCAGGCCTAGCCCAAATGGTGATATGTATTTCAGGAACTAACATTTTGTTATGTGAATTTCTCAATTGACTCGTTTCTAACGGCAATATTCTAATCAATTACAATTAACCGCTGTCCCAAAAGGTGTATTGCACTAAGATTCCCCTCCCCATCCCTACCTAGCTGACTTGTATAAGACTTCTTTCAAAAACTATACGTTTCATATTTAAGTATTCTCCTGAACATGGCTCAATTCTTCATTTCTTACGAGATGATGCGACGTGATATGACATGATTATGGAAGATGGTCTTATAAATTTAATTCCTATGATGGTATGCACCAGCTAATCATTTAATATTTTTCATTCCCTTACATTATCAATATACCTCTCATCACAAACAGTCTTCATGAAACGTTACTGTAAATTTTCCATATTTTGTACTTCTTATCTCTATGATCCGTGAAATAACGCTAGAGCTGTCTGAAAAAGTTTGCCAAAAGTAGTCAGTATCGTAATTTCCTCGTTCATGAAGTATCAAAGACAAAGTCGTTAGTCTTTAACATAACATTTTCAGGATGCGCACTCGCATTCGAAGTCCGTCCAAAATCGTGGAGCCGTTTTAACGCGTATGTAACTTACACAAAGACTGGTGGCGACCAGCTGAGAAACAAGTTAGTATATTTACTCTTCAAAACTCGTCGTTAATACAAATTGTACTTCGGAATATGCGTCAATAGTGTAGCAGTTTATATGTAGCGTTTTGGTGAGGAGTACTCTGGAGACAGCGTAGTTACGTCATGAATTGGTGACTTTGCACCTACACAAAATAGTTTCAACCCGATGCAGTTGAAGGTCCAGTTCACGATGATGGTGAGATTTCTTCTTCGAGCGAAATAATGGAAGCCATGCTAATGCGATGCGGAATAGTGCTAGGATGGCAAAGAAAGTGAAATAATCCGCCTGCTTCGCGGCAAATAAAGCTTTCCAAAAGTAGTGGAATAGAGGTAGTACGGGATTATCATGACGGAATCAGCATATTAGGAGTATTTGGACGATACTGCAAATCCTTCTTATATATAAAGCAGTAACTTGGTTCGTCGGTTTGTCGGTATGTCGGTTTGTCTGTATGTCGGTATGTCGGTATGTCGGTTTGTCGGTCTGTCCGTCCGGGACTTTGTGATTATGATAAAGGTAGTGATATGGAAAACTTATTCTTCTTATATAAAAAGCAGTCACTTTGTGGGTAGGCTAATGGAGTAAAGTGAGCACTGCGGAGTGAAGTGAGTAATATGAAGTGAGGTGGATGATTCAAATTGTGATCTCTACTGTACTGTAATGGCAGTACTTCGACACTGGTATTGTAATAAAAAGAGCTGACTATTTCAAGCCAAGTTGTCTAAAACTGCCTTCTGCCTCGCCATTAGTCATGACAAGTTGTTTGAACTTCCAACATGACAGTCCCTCGAGATAGCGCAACCTCTACATTGCGGTTGAAACTCGTTTACTGATATCACAGTGCCACCTATGGCATACTGGAGTGCCACAAATTTTCAGAGGGATATTCCTCATAAAACAACTTTATCGTGAACTGTGCCTTGAACATGCAATTCGTTGCGTAGCTGTAAGGTTAAGAGACGTCGACCGAACTGCAGCCAATTGTAATTGTGGTGTCAGTCATGATATTTGCTCCTTTGAATACTTAGTAATTATTGATGATTTATTTTTTTCTCAAATCCTTATTGTTTACGTATAGTTACGACCAGCCGACTACTTGGCACCATGAAAACTTGCGAGAATCGTGCCCTAATGGCCGCCTTCGTCTCTGTATAATTCCGTATAATTTCAAGAATCGATGTGGACGCCTAGTTTTGCAGGTTCTTGACAATACCACTTAACTCAGCTTGCTGTAAATTGAACGAAAACTCAGCTACCATTTTNCTCTAAATTCGGATGACTGTCCTACCCATTGCCTCTTCAAACGGGCTAAAATTTGCAGCTTCCCAAGATTTAGGAGCCTACATACTCGTAGCGCAGTTCTAATCAGCTCAGTGTACTTCTCATCGATTCAGTAACTTTCACTCAGTTTTCAACACTGCCGGGATGGATCACTGCTCTCCATGATTTCCTTGATTTTTTTCTTCCACTTGCTTGCTGTTCACCCAGAATGACTTTATTCAATGATCTCACAGCTCTACACAGCTCCCGCGCGATCTTCATCGTATATGTTCACCTCATTAGCATTTTCTCTGCCCGAACCATAGCCACTTGGTTAACAAAGAATCGGCCATAACCCTATGTTAGTTCGATGACAGATGAGTTTGATTTCAAGGTGTCGACATCAGTAGCCCTAACCAATTTGGACTTTGATCCGGCAGCGATGATATGATATGCATTAATGGGAGAACAAAATATGAGGATATCGCCTACTCATAGCGTAGCGTAAATATAACGATTCACTTCATCCATCATAACTTGTCCCCCTTATTGGTCACCATGAGTTGTTCAGTCGTTCTTTGTATTCGAACTCTGATTTGTTCGTTAACAGATGTCGGCAAACGAGAGTCGTGAGCTACAGTCTTATGAGCCATCAGATCTCATCGTAACGGTTGTCATGTCGTGCTATATTTTCTACACAGCAGCCATTGTAATTGGGATTCCATGCAATGCGTTCGTTCTTTACCGTATGACTCGATTGTCAAGAAAATGTGCTGAGGTATACAGGTGTGAGCTGCTTTCACATTCTTCAATAACTGTAGGGATTCCAATTGCATTTTCTTCGCTACAGTCTCTTTTTCAGCAATGGCGTTGGTCTCTGTCTGTTTATAATGGCAGTTGCTGATATCGGATCGTTATGCTCTATTCTAATACACTACATCCTGAGTATATTCACCGCTACACAAGAGATAGCTGACTCTGTCGGTGTTGTCTGGCTGGATCTGATCTGCAAGGTATATCATTGGCCCTGTGTCAAACTGACCCATAGTGATGTCCTATTTAGTTTGCCACACTTTCAATGCACATCTCTACCTTTGTGTCCATTTGGAGCTGGCTGCTGATGTCCACACTGCGATATCTCTCCGTATATCAGCCGCTTCTCTACATTCGACTTTGGAAATTTCCGGCAAAGGTATTTCTGGATTCATTCGACTCTGGAAGACATTGAGAAATCTAATTCGGAAAATCGCAAAAAGGGACCATCGTTGAAAATTCAAACAAAAAAAAAACCAAAACGCGTTGTATTACGAAGAAGCTACACGTTATGGTTCTGGTTTTAATAATTGCCCCTACTTGTAAGCTTATATGAAAAAATTCTTTTTTTCTCGTCGTATTCCGAAGAAGCTACACGTTATGGTTCTGATTTTTAATAATTGACCCTCCCTTGTAGGCTTTTATGAAAAAATATTTTTCCAAACAGTCATGTTTTCTGGAGTATTTCGGAAACTTAGATCGAACGGCTCTCACAGATTTGGTCTATCGAGACTGGAATTGAGATATGTGGATGTGGTGTAGTGGCAAGTGGCGCACTATATCACTTGCACGGTCAGGGGTTCAAATCCCTGATCGATGCCCGCTTGGGCCAACGAAGCCTTCCATCCCTTCAGGGTTGGTGAATTGGTACCAGACTCGTCTGGGTGGATAAGTGCACTGACTTGTTCATCGGCTGGCCATCGCAAGTCATTGTAGAGGCACACGCACTATTATGCCACTACGATTCTGAATGGAA